TGATATTTAGGCAGGCAAAATATCTTTTCTTTTTTTTTTTAATATATTTTATTGATTTTTTACAGAGAGGAAAGGAGAGAGATAGAGAGTTAGAAACATCAATGAGAGAGAAACATCGATCAGCTGCCTCCTGCACATCTCCTACTGGGGATGTGCCCGCAACCCAGGTACATGCCCTTGTCCGGAATCGAACCTGGGACCTTTCAGTCCGCAGGCCGACGCTCTATCCACTGAGCCAAACCGGTTTTGGCTGGGCAAAATATCTTGTTCATGATTACAGGTCTGGTAAGATGCAGAGCTACTGTGGACCCAGTTCTGAATGCCTGAGTTCTGATGGACCTAATGAGTATCAATGAAATAAGCCATATTCTAACCTAAGAGAGTTGTCGATCTAACCCAGGGGGTGGGGGGCAACCCCTGGCACACGTGCCAAACATGGCACGCCAGTAACTTTTGCTGGCACGTGAAACCCTCTCTTATAATCTTCCATTTACAATTGTGAATCTTTGTTCTCAGTGATGAATTTTGTTAAGTCTCGTAATAGGAGTAGCCTGACGGATGAAAGTAGTAGCTTGTGCATATCTCTGAAGGTCATGAAATATAAACCTGATGTAAAATCTGTCATCAGTGATGCAGCAGCAAAAGTCCTCTAACCCCTGCCTAAGATGGGATAAGGCAATCTGACAGAAGAACGCTGGGTGGGGTCTACTTTCAGGACAGAAGCCTGAGCAGCTGAAGGCTGCCCTGAAAGGTAAGCTGGAAAGAGTATCACCCATGGCAGGGAATGGCACAATGTGCAGGTCCTCGGGCCTGTGGGGGTGGGTCTGTGAGGCAGCCACAAAAGAGCTTCCATGAGAGGAAGAACAGCACTTGGGCACATGTCTTACAGGAGGCACCAGCAGCCAGGCACCGGCAGCAGCAGAAGTCCTCAGTCTGAGAAGAGCAGCCCTTTCCTTCTTCCTGACCAAAATCATATCCTGATCCATTTCCCCTGAACCTGAGCAAATTCATAAGTTGGTTTACTCTCAACCCGTTGTAGTTTCTTAGTGGGTCACCTTATCCTCAGTCTAGCAGTTCTTCATCCAACATGTACATTGCAGTCAATAGTTTTCTTAAAAAATATTACTTTGCTCAGCTTGTTTCATGATATATACTCCCTCCCAATTAAGTCTGAAATCTTCAGTATTCAGGGATGGGATTTAATTATCCTTTCTCTGTATTCACTTTCCAACACATAAATGTTTTGACTCATATTTGGGCCCACTACGAAGGGGAAATCTTTAATGGGTCTCTGAGAATATATTGTGGTCCCACAATCTTCTGTGGCTGTGTATTTTATTTCCCAAACTACTGTGGATGTCGCAATTCTCTGCCTTGTACCAGCCTTTTAATCTGAAATGTTCCATGCCCCCAATCAAAATCCAACCCACCCTTCAAAGCTCAGCTCAAATATCACCTCTTCTTAAAATTGTTACCTGATTCCCCCAGTTGGAATCAGTTAGTCCTTTGCCTGTATTCCCTTGACCTTTTCTGTATTCTTTTGGTTTTGATCTTATTTCATTCTGTTTCATATTATAGTTAGTCATGTAGCAAAAGGGTACAAGACAAAAGCCCCAAATCTACATTCACTATAAATTTCCAACATAGAAAAAGAAAAAGAAAAGAACTTGGAAAATTTTGGTTGCATGCAAACTCAAAGTGTCTTCTTGGAAGAACAGAGGCTGAGACCCTTGAACAAGTCCAGGGTCAAGCAAATCTCCTGACCTGTGAGAAGTAAGGTCTTGAGATGAACCCACATGATCAATGTGGAGATATTTAGGACTTAGTCCTGGGGCACTAGCAGATGTGTCCGAGCTATAGAACCTGAGGGATCAGTAGTAAGCAATACCAGCTACCTCTAAAATTGGGTTGAGAAGCCTCAGGTGAAGAATTTTAAGAAATTAAGCCTATTAAAGGGATTTTATCTCTAGGCCTAGGGCAGTGGTTGGCAAACTGCGGCCCCTCGAGTGTGGCTCTTACACAAAATACCACATGCGGGCGCGCACATACAGTGCGATTGAAACTTCGTGGCCACACTCAAGGGGCCAAAGAGCCAAATGTGGCTCGCGAGCCACAGTTTGCCGACCACTGGCCTAGGGCACTGCCAAAGGTGCTCTTTGGGAGCCAGGAAAGAGTTATTTCATTGGAGGAAAGAAGACTATGCCTTATCTCGGTTGACTATCAGAGTGATGGGAAAAAGAAAGTATTATCAAGCATGAGACTACGTGCATATTATTAAAGGGAAGTCGACAAACCCCTAGTCATGATTCAGCCAACAAATACGAACGAGGTGAGAGGCCGAGCAGCGAAGTGTGGGGTCAGTGTGTGCATAGACACAGAGGAAATGGAATCAATGGGACAGCCCTGACTTTGAACTCTGAGCAGCAGCAGCCTCTGACGAATTACAGAATTAATTAAGAATTACAGAAACAACTTCTTGTGCTGCAGGGGGACACGCTATAAGTCACAGGAAACATGTATAAACAACACCAGGAAAAGGGAGTTTGGATTTGACTTTCCCTACTTCTTACTCCTATATCCCAGCACATGAGAAACTGCATGTTAAGGGTTACAGTTGTAGACACTTAAGAAATGCCTATTGAATAACCAATGAATACATTGTCATCTTCTATAGACTCTCATTACCAGTTCTTGCAAAACAGCATATCTGACAATTTTCACTATATCCTTAATTGTCCATATAGTGGCCATAGATACCTTTTGCCTTTCCTCTAGTAAATGCGACCTCTTCTTTGGGGGAACCGATCTTCCCCTGCTCTAATGTTTTGACACTAGTGAGGCTGCCTGTCAGAGACACATGAACCTGACTTGCCATTCAAAGGGCCCCATTGTTTTAGCAACAGGGATTGGCACAGGTCTCAAACTTGGTTAATCAGCACTATTCCATGCAAGTGTTATATACAGAAGCAGGGGGAGCGAAGCCCTGTCTTTTCTCAAAGTCATGAAGCTATCATGTTTACATTGGAACTGCTGCTCCCAGCCATGTTCACCAGCATGTGGGGAAAACCAGTTTGAAGGAATGAAGGCAAAGAGAAGCTTAGCTTGTGTGTGTGTGTGTGTGTGTGTGTGTGTGTGTGTGTGTGTGTGTGTGTGAGAGAGAGAGAGAGAGAGAGAGAGAGAGAGAGAGAGAGAGAGAGAGAGAAAAGTTTTATTAGGAAGTAGTAATTATATTTTCCAGTTTACATTTTCTTTATTAACATGTTCATGCTGTTTGAACAAAAACTATTTTCTTAAATCAGAAGAAAACACAAACATGTGTAATAGAACACACATTGCGAAGACACATGTGAATGTTTACCTTCTCTGAGCCTCTCCAGGCTCGCCTAGATAGACTGTTTATTTCCACTCTAGCACCATGTGTGAACCTAATGAAGACTCCAGCCTCATAGCCCATATGCTGGGAGCTGCATTGTTTCCTGCAACACTGTGGAGTCCCACTATCAATATTTAAAGCATGTCAGCTTGTCATCTACAAAGGAGATTTCCGGTAAGAGAGCATTAAAGCTCTCCTAGAATAGTAGAGTGGGGTAAGAGAGTCATTATAAAATCATAAAGTTTTGTAAACTTCAGGCTGACTTCTTCTTTTAGAAGTTGTTTTTGATTTTTTTTTTCGTATATCTTTCTCTGTGTATCTTGTTTCTGCCTAGTCTTGCTTAATAATTTCTAAAGGAGATCACCACTCTGATTCTTAAAACCAAAGAATTTTAGGCAGTGACGGGGGGGGGGGGGCCGGGGTGGAGGGGGGAGCAGAGGGAAACTAGTGATGAGAACTAGGCAAAGAATAAAATGTTAAAGAAAAGTAAATCACAATTGTCATGAACCACCAACAGATTTGAAAGTTGAATTATTCAAGGCGGCAAATTTTCTGGATTCCAGCTCTATGCTGCAAGAATTGGAAACAGATAACAGAGGCATTGTTATATTTTTTCACTGCCAGCCTTCTGTTGCCACTACAAAGCACCCCAGTCTCTGCCCCTATTGCCAGTCGGCAAGAACCTTGCATGGAAAATAATGAGCAGAAGCCTGTTTTGTTTTGTTTTGTTTTGTTTTGTTTTTGTTAAGTGATAAAGATGCACCTTTAGACTTTTACAGAGAAGTTACTCCATCCATTTTTACCTAGTCAATATGTCTAATCATCAGGTAAGACTTGCTTTGACAATTTTTTTCACAAGTAGGCACAATTGCATATATAAAGACTAGATATAAACCAGGCAGATAATTTTTTAAAAATGCATGCGAGTCCCTTCATTTTTCTCTGACTTGTAAGCTTTAAATTGACATTGTCCACATTTATTCTGTTTATCACATGATAGACCCTCTCCAACTTTAACTTTATACTAAGTTTGATGCCTCCTAAATTTCTCCCTTTTTTAAAAAATTGAGACTTAAACCATGGATACAGACAATAGGGCAGTGAAGGCCTGAGTCGGGGGGCAGGGGCAGGCTGGAAGGGGTCTAGGGGGAAAAGGGGTACATATGTAATACTTTCAACAATAAAGGTTTATTTTTAAAATAAATAAATAAATAATTGAGACGTAAACCAAAATCGAATTAATTCTTCTTTTAAAGAAACTCCATTTATTTTTCTTTTTGAAAGTGTCTACCCCCACTTCAATTGGACTATCCATGGGATTTATTTATTTATTAATATATTTTTATTAATTTCAGAGAGGAAAGGGAGAGGGAGAGAGAGATTGAAACATCAATAATGAGAGAGAATCATTGATTGGCTCCTGCACACTTCACACTGGGAATTGAGCCCACTACCCAGGCATGCACCCTGACCGGGAATCAAATCGTGACCTCCTGGTTCATAGGTCAACGCTCAATCACAGTGCCATGCCGGCTGGGCCTAGGATTTACTTCTTACATGAAGGTGGAACTAGTCTCTGTGTGACTTGAGGAGCCCTGACCAGAATACTTCCTTTTTCTCTCCTCAGACTACTTGTATTAAGTCCTGCGTCTGTAGGAAGCCACAGTCATGCTGCAGGGAAATGCCTGAGAGAAGAGAAGGGAGCTGGAGGGGCCAGTCACTGTCAGAGAGGGAAGACCCCAAGAGAGCATATCAAAGAGAGCAAAGGTGAGCTTTCCGTCAGACTGAAGTGGTGTACCATGGGAGAAAGCACCCCTTCTGAGCCTGGCATAACAAGCTCTTGTCCAGGCGTCTCCTTCCTTGCCTCCCTCCTGCCATCTCCTTATAACAGAGAACAAGACTGAGGTGGGATGCCACGAAGACCCCAAAAGACACATAACTGTCCACTGTTCCAACAATAGATTGGTCTGAAGCAAACTCAGTACTCCGCTTGCAGCAAACTTGTTTCTAGACAATGCATGTCTAATGAAATAAGTTTGGAAGGACTGAAAGTTCCCACTATATCTCTCAGCTAAAATTACATACAGATGCTGCTCAGTGCCTGTATTAACTTGTAACTGTGAACAAATTATAAGGTTTTAAGATCACAGAAAAGTTTTTGAAGTCGAAAATAACCACCATTACAGACAAAATAACCTGTCACTTCTTTTAGAGTTCAGGGAAATAAAATGTTGGTAAGAAAAATAAAACATTCTGGCTCCACGCCAGAACATAACATTATGTTCTCTAATACACTTCTAAAGTGCTTATCTTAAGTGTCAGCAAGTGGCTGTTTGTTTAAATCTATCTCCCTTAGAAATTGTATTTAAGATCTTTTTGATTGACAAAACAGAGTGTCTGTTATATATAAGTTTATATGTTAACTTTTCTCTAAAGGAATAGCATCCAAACCTTTATTTCATCTGAATCAAACTTATGTGCATTGTGAAACCCGTCCACAAATCATGGAAAGAAAAATATTTCATATATTTAATGAAAGAAGTGATAGCTATGTGCATTTTCATTCTGCAATTAAAATTTTCCTGACTCTCATTATTTGAAGCAAACAATAAACAGAATTTAGAATCATTGCATGATAACTAAATTTGTCTACAGATACCATGTCTTATAATAATAAGGTTTCTAAGAGATATGTAAGTTCAGAGAAATGAGGCCTAATTATAATTTTATCCTGTGGTTTTGAGAGTAATGGCTTAATCTTAAAGAATTAATAACTGCCATGAAATTTAAAGGGAAGTTCCTTTCACCAACACTGATTAGTCAGAAAATATGCAGTACTACCTCTCAAAGGGGGAGTCAGGGGGAAACACAGTTCTCTTGAGATTTCTCATCTGCAGCTGTATTCTACAGAGGTCTAAAAATCAGAAATGAATTGCCCCAAGGTTCAACCCAGCTTTTTCTTTGAAGGGCACACAGAGGGTAAATTTTTGAGCCTAATTATTATGCCACTTCAAATACACTCCTTCAGCAAGATTGGTGGAACAGAGCCATCTGCACCCAGGTTCAGCATCTCAAACGCCTGCCCTCCCGACCCTCCTTCGTTCCTCTTCCTGCCTGCCAAGCCACTCTGGCTTTTATTTTCTTTATTCTAACTTTCTCTCTCTCATAGAGGAAGAACTAATGTGAAAGAAACTGAACCATGGTACCAAATGCTCAGCATATACTGATAAGCAGATAGATAGATTCAAATGGTGCATTGTTTATTTCAAATAATGAAAATTGGGGAAATAATTTTTAACTTTTCATAGTAACATAGGCCCAATACTATATGTTAAATATGCCAGAAAATTCAAAGTCTAAGAGGACTTCTGAAAAGTAGAACTCATATAGCATGCTATTTAGCATACACATTATAATTTGATTTTGCCTTTATCTTAATAGGTCTACTGTTTTTGGCTATTTTGGAATTGTGTTAATTGGTCTAAAGGTAGGAGTTCTAGGTTCTACCCTGCTCTTGAACTCTGTGTAACCTTGAGCAATTCATGTAAATGACCTGTTCCAGATCACTTGTTCCCTCATCTGTAAAGCAAGGAAGTTGAATCAAATTTATTTCTAACCCGTGGGTCAAAAACCTATTCACTGAGATTTTCTATTTTTCACACCTCCCACATCTCAGCCCCCTGGTTCCTCTGAGCAGCATTGAGAATGCAGAAACTTACCTTCTATCACTATTCTGATTTCTTTCAGGTAAAGTTCGTGTTGTGCCAGTGAAACCACCCATTTCCCATTCCTGATTGATTCCAGGTCACTCCCTATTCAAATCCATTCTACTCTGCCATGGCGGTGGTTTTTATGGAATACTTAGATTAACAACCTCACCCAGGTCTTTTTAAAAATCTTAAATTGTTCCCACTTATCTTCAAGAAAAGTTTCACCCTACTTAACATAGCTTACAACATTTCACAACCTTTTACATTCTTGTAAAACTGCCTTTTTAGCCTCATCTCCAACCAGCTATATCTTCCTTGAATACACTAAGTTATTATCTTTGCCTCTGCTATTGTGTTTAGATTATTCTCACTCCAAAACCTCCCCACTCCTGCACCTATTTCTGTCAAGCTTTTACTTATTCACGATCCAAATTAAATATCCCCTTCTATATTTAGCTTTCTCTTACTCCTTTCTCCATGATAGAATTGAGTGAATCCTTTGTGCAACGTTAACTGCATATCTGTGTATGATATCATGCTGGATACAAAGGTACAATACGTCTAAGAAGTTTTTGCGCTCAGTGAACTTTCTGACTAGTAAAAAAAAAAAAAATACAGTCCTGCAAGTCAAAAAAAATGCCACTTAGTTATGTTAGATCTATGACAGAAATCTGTACCCAGTGCAGTTAATCACAAAGAAGAGAGAGGATGGTCAGTTCTACCAGAGAAAAGGGGGAAATGGATAAAAAAAAAAGCATCAGAGAGGAAATAATCCTTGAGATGAATCTTGAAAGATCAATAGATATACAGCAGGGGATGAATAATAAGAGGGAGAGAGAGTCTATTCAGTCATTTAGTTATTCATTTAACCAACATATATTGAGTGCCATGATATGTCAGGCACTGCACTAGATGCTGAGAACATAAAGGTAAGTAAAATACATACTTTATTTTGTCAAGTACAAACAAACAAGTTAACAAGCAATTTTAATACAATGGATATAGTAGACAACTGATAAAATAGCCCCTGTAATAAGGAATCTGACTCCAACTGCATTTTTGATGCTTGATCCCTGACAGCTTTCATGCCCCAATCTCCACCCCCCCCCCTTTCCCTATTGCTCATATGAGGGCAAAACATTAAGAAAGCCTTAGAGTCTCATCCATTTTTGCTAGTAGGAAAGTTCAAACCACCCGAACCCCATTTCCACAGGAGCCCTCACTGAGACCCTACCCCCTCACCACAATAAAAACTAAAGCCATCAGATTATCTCCTTTATCAAGACATATTAGACTGTCTTTTGTTCTTGTCCTTCTTTCTTTAAAAAGTTTCATTATGTGAGTGATAATTATTTTCATACCGTCTTGGCATCATCAGTCTCGACATGTGAACCAATTGTGGGTGGGAGTAGCTTGCCCTCCACCGGGTAACAGGCCTCAGTGATCCCAGTCTCCTGGTGTCCATAGCCTTGTATAATTCCCTCTGCTTGAATGTGTGTTGAGCCAAGTGACTTGCTTCTAAAAAAAAAAGAATACAGCAAAAGTGATGTATCTCATCACTTTTAAAATATAAGAGTAAAGTAATCCTCTGTGATTAGATTGCAAAAAGACTCTGATATCTCTCCTGCATGTTCTCAATTGTTCTCTTCCTTGCTTTGATGGAAGCTGGCTACCATGTTGTGAGACACCTTCTGAGGTCCACAGAGCAACAAACTGAGGGAGGCCTGTGAGTTAGCCACTGAGGAACTGAGGTCCTCAGGCCATGAGCCTATGTGGGACTGAATCCCACCAAAGGCAGTATCAGTGAGTTTCACAGTGGACCCACTACCAGTTGAACCGTCATATGAGACCATTGCCCTGACCAACACCTTGATGGTAGCCTTGTAAGAGACCCTGAGAAGGAGGACCCAGTTAAGCCATGCCCAAATTCTTGTCTCACAGAAACTGTGATGTATAATATATATTTGTTGTCTGAAGAAACTAGGTTTGGAGGTAATTTGTTAAGCATCAATAGATAACTAACACAACGAAGTGTTGCAGTGGTGAAAATACACAAAAATATTATTACCCTTTGGGATGGCGGTAGGGGATGGGTGGCTAACGTAACCTAGATAAGAGACATGAGAAGCCTGGCAAATTCATGAAATGTAGGTGCTTAAAATAATCCCATTTGGCTATACAGGAGGGTCTCAGGAGGGTTGGTCTCCAGCTGGGGCTGGAGAGATACACCAAAGAAAGATTGGAGTTATACAAAGTAGGCACTGAAGAATTTGAAACAGCACAGCAGCATGACCCTATTTATGCAGCTTAAGCCTGTGCTGTGTCCTCCCTCAGATTCAGACATGTCTGGACAGGTAATGAGAGCTAGTGGTGCAGGCCCTCCGTAGTATGTTTGCACAAGTAGTTAAAAAAAAAAATCCTGGAAAATAAGTCAATGTATAAGAAGCAAGTGTTCTAAGCTTCTTGGGTCACTGACAGAAAAGCAGTGGTTCTGCCCTTAGCATGCAGTGACTGCCCCTGTGATTATCCTTCTTCCCAGTCCCTACACATTGATGCCTGAGCCCCATGAAGAAAGAACTGCAGTAACAAGCAAGTAATCTACAAGGGCTATTTCACAAAATTCCCATGAGAATCTCAGATCCCAAGACAGTATCATCAAGTCAACAGCAGTGGAGTCAGTAGCTTTGGCAGGAAGCAAGGTCCTGGCTGCTCTGCAAGGAAATTTGTACCTTAAATATTGTACATCGGCATTGGCATCAGTGGCCTGGCAAGGACTCCAGGTATTTTAGAAGACGACATTATTCCTTTTTTTTTCCATAAGAGCCAGAACAAAAGAGAAGAAAAACAGTGGACAACAACAACAACAAAAAACACTTCAGAGCACACACGTGCAACATCTCCAGCCCCCAGCCCCCATATTTGGAGAAGAATTTGAGAAATCCAGACAGAGAGCAGTAAAACAAAAAAAAGGAATACGAGACTCAGCCAGCATGGCTCAGTGGTTGAGTGCCGACTTACAAACCAACAGGTCATGGTTAGATTCCCAGTCAGAGCACATGCCTGGGTTGAGGGCTTGATCCTCAGTAGGGGGCATGCAGGAGGCAACTGATCAATGATTATTTCTCATCATTGATGTTTCCATTTCTCTCCCTCTCCCTTCCTCTCTGAAATCAATAAATATATATTTTTATAAAGGAATACTACATTTTACTAATTGACTAGAAGCATTAATATGGTACATTTCTTACAATTAATGAACCAATATTGATACATAATTATTAACTAAAGTTCATAGTTTGTTCATATTTCCCTAGTAATTCCCTAATGTCCTTTTTCTACTCTGGGATCTCATCCAGGACACCACATTACAATTAGTTGCCATGTCTCCTTGGGTTCCTCTTAGCTGTGACATTATCTCAGTTTCCTTATTTTCAATGATTTTGACAGTTTTGAGAAGCATATTGTAGGAGTCCTCTCTTCTGGAACTTTTCTGACTTTTTCTTCTCATATTAGACTGGGTTATGAGCTTGGAGAGGAGAAATACTATTTTATTTTTTAAAAAATATTTTTATTGATTTTAGAGAGGAAAGGAGAGGGGGAGAGAGAGAGAGTGAGAGAGAGAAACATCAATGATGAGAATCATTGATTGGCTGCCTCCTGCACGCCCCCCACTGGGGATCGAGCCCGCAACCGAGGTACGTACCCTTGACTGGAATCAAACCCAGGACCCTTCAGTCCGCAGGCCAACACTCTATCCACTGAGCCAAACCAGCTAGGGCGAGAAATACTATTTTAATATTGATACAGGGCTCACTTTTATCTCCACACTGCTTTGGCCTGGGAAATTTACAATGTGTTACACTTGTATTTTGGAACCATCTCCACTGTAGAGGAAATAGAGTGAGGGCAAACACAAAACAGTGTGACCAATTTGAAGACTATTGCAATGATTCAATGAGCTATAATAAGGATCTGGGCTAAGACAACTATGGTGTGAAAAGAGTGGAAGGGAAAGATAAAAGATATGTTAAGGACTTATAACGAGCAGAACTCTATAACCAATTTTATAGGGATGGGAAGAATCTGCAAACGTGACTGAGAAGAAATGGTTGAAAATGTGGAAGAAGAACCAGAAAGAGCAGCGTGCCAATGCCAAAGGAAGAAAGAATGCTGTAGTAAGTCAAATAAAAGAGGGTAAAAATGACCTTTGAACTTGGAAATTAATAAGGTTACTAGTCAGGAGCAGCAGCATAATTGGAAAGGCTGGAAAGTGAACTGAATGTAAGCAAAATAAAAATAGTGAATGTCAATATTTCTGAGCATTCTTATTATAAAGAAAAAGAAAATGGTCAGTATAGAAGCTAGCTAGAGAGATATATATTGGGGACATTCAATAATATATGAGACATGAGCATATATTTGTAGACTATATGGGGTGATAGGAACCAGTAAAGAAAGATTGAAAATATGGCAAAATGAAAAAAATTGTCTTAGAGGAGGTGAAAAGATGCTAATAATAGTTACACACACTGAGTATTTACCTAAGCTTCCAGGCACTGGAGTAGGGCTTTGATGCATTCTTTGCATTAACCTTAACACTCCTAGAAAGTAAATGTTGTGATTATCCTTATATTTTAATGAAGAAACTAAGACATATAGCAGTGTGAGTCAAGATTTGAACCCAGGCAGGTTAGCTCCACTTGCTTAATCGCTACTATACAGTATATTGCTGCTCCAAAGCCTGGGTGGTAGCCTGCAACAGCAGAGGAGACATCTGTAAGTTAGAAGGAAAGCAATAAGTGTGGGTGGCACATGGTGGTTGCATAATAAATATTTGTAGAATGAATGAAAGAATAACTGAGTGCAGATACAGATATGTAGCTCTATGGGCAGGAAGTTGATGGAGGTCACGCTTTATGGAGCTGATTACATCACCCTCTATGAATGTGTAGCACTTCATACATGAACAGTGCAGCACTTGTTTCATTATATTGCAATTCTGTCTCTTCACTTATCTGAATTCCACTCCTTCAACAAGGGGAGAGCCTGGGACGGACCTAGCTTTTGAATTCATTGAGCCCGAACTGGAAAAGCCTTCAGAACATGTCAGAGGCAAAGAACAAGGAAAGCTCAAGGAAAAGTTGAAATCCAATAAGCTGAAAATCAAAGGTCCCCAAACAGATGGGAGGAGCAGAAGCGGGTTTGGAATTCAAGAGTGTGGAGCCAGGGATTTGAAATCCTGGGAGTCAAGGGCCAGAGCAGAGGCCTGGAAAAATGATCTCAACAGATGTCGCTTTCTGCATCTCCTTTTTAGCTATCAGTCACAGTGATGAATGGCCAAACTGGCTAGCTTAAAGGATTGTGAGGGGTCAGTACTTCCAGGTAGTGA